AAGGAGGAGGAGGAGGAGGAGGACGCGGCGGCGGTTTCGCTCTTGCTCTCTTTCTCTTTCTCTTTCTCTCTCTCTCTCTCTCTCTCGCTCGCTCTCTCTCTCTCTATCTCTCTCTCTCTCTCTCGCTTTCTCTGTTTCTCTCTCGCTCTCTCTCTCTTGCGCGCAGTCTCTCTCTTTCCCAACCTCCTCCTCCTCCTCCTCCTCCTCCTCCTCCTTCACACGCCCAAGCTCATCACTGACAGACACATGACATCCGCACTGCGGATGCTGCTACGTCATAATCGCTAATCACGCAAATCCGTTAATGAGGCTTATCACTTAATGAGACTTATCCTTTCATGACTGACACACATTGGCGGGGAGCGAAAAGGGAGGGTGGGCGTTGCGTCGGGTTCTCGAGAAGGGTGGAGTCGGTGACGTGGTGAAACAGTCCTGCCGCGGCGAATTATACCTTACCTACATACCATCCATCCATCATCATCATCCATCTATTCATCCATCCATCCATCCATCCATCCATATATCATACCAGGGATGAAGTAGAAGATGATGTAACTACGATTCTGAGATGCTATGTTTCTGGAATGCTGGGATGATGAGAGAGAGGATTCTAGGATCAGGTAAGAGATGGGATGCTGGGATGATGAGAGAGAATTCTGTGATGAGATTCCGTGATTCTAAGATGATGCGATGAAGGGGGAAATTCAGGAATGAGGTCAAAGATGCTGAGATGACTGTGGAACATTGCCGCCGCGAAAACATCCCGCTCTCCCACTCTCTCACTCTCCCACTCTCTCACCATCCCACTCTCCCGCTCTCTCACTCTCGCACTCTCGCACTCTCTAACTATCCCACCATCCCACTATCTCACTCTCCCACTCTCCCACTCTCTCGCTCTCTCGCTCTCTCACTCTCTCACTCTCTCACCACCCCACTCTCCCACTATTATCCCACATTCTCTATCTCCCTCTCCCTCTCGTGTTACAGCCGCCTCTAGTATTACAGCGTGAGATGAGACAAGGTCAGAGCCTCTATCTCTCTCTCCCCTAGCTCTACTCTACCGCCTAACTCTACGTCACGTCTGCTGAGCGCGGATGACAGACTCGACCCCTGCTGCCGCCTGCCGCCCGACGCCACGCCCACCGTGCCGGCACCATGAACCGACAAACAAACAAACAAACAGACAAACAAACAAACAAACAAACAAACAAACAAACAAACAAACAGGAAAACACAGACGATTAAACAACAACCGAGACAAACAAAATAACAAACAAACAAACAAACAAACAAACAAACGAGCGCGACCAGGACACACCACACCCACGACCCGACGGTAACAAACAAACAGACATACACACAAACAAACAAACAGACACACACAAACAAACAAACAAACAAACAAACAAACTAAGTAACAAAGCCGAAATCACGTACGAGATTGCTCTCTCGCAGACGACGCATGTTGGAGCTCCTTCCATTTCGTGATAAGATCGGGTCTTAGACGCTTCCATACACAACAACTAGGAGAATATACTTCTCACAGAAACACCGCGCAAACACACCGCAAACACAAACACTACTTCCACTGATGACGCTCCAATCCCACGACACTCGCAGGCACCCGGGCACGGTATAGAATGGGCACGCGAACGAGCGAAGGGCTTATATCCAGACACAGGGGGCACACGCACACGCACACGGTAGCACGGTTAAACGCACAACGCGGGAAGCTATCGTGCGGCCGGGGTGAGGGTAGCGTACATGCGGCCGCGTGGCGGCGCCACGGGCGCGAGGAGGTATAAATAGCTGATGGCAGGGATGAGGGTTGGATGGTGGTGGGG